TGAAACTCGTGGTACCACTGACGAGATGCCTATTTTAGTCCATTAATGGATTTTGTTAATTTGCAAACAATATTATTTGAGTCTCCCGACACAAAGTTTTCTGGTTGTACCATATAGATTGTTTCATCAACGTTGCCATTGAGAAAAGACGTCTTGACATCCATTTGATGGAGTTCCAAATCATATTGTGCAACAAGATCCATGGTTGTCCTAAAAGAGTCTTTCGATGAAACCGGAGAGAAAGTCTCTTTAAAATCAATCCCTTTCTTTTGAGTATAACCCTTAGCCACAAGACGAGCTTTATACCTCTCCACATTACCATTAAAACCCCGCTTGGTCTTAAAAATCCATTTCAACCAATGCGTTTTACACCTTCTGGTAATGGGACAAGTTCCCAGACTTTATTGTCTTGCATATACTTATGCTCCTCCTTCATTTCTTCAATCCACTTTTCCGAGTTGAAATGTTACATGGCTTTATGGAAGTTGATTGGATCATCATACCATTATTTTCCTTATGCTCTTAGAGAAAGACTATGTAATCATCCGGAATAACATTTCTCCTTTCTCTACTGGGTCTCCGTAAAGGTATTGGTTCTTGTAACACTTGTTCTTAAGGATTTTGAGTTTGTTCTTCATGAATTACCAAATCATCTTGAGTAAGAGGAAAGTCAACAATTTCTTGTAGATGTTCCATACTTGCTTGATCAAAAGCAACTATATTAATCGATTTCGGAATTGTTACCTATTTTTCCTCTAAAACAAAGTCTCTAACCTTATTCTTCCCCCCAAACTCAATGTCCTCAAAGAATATGGATGTTCCCGTCTCAAAAATTTAATTTAATTTGGGATCATAAATTTGTAGCCTCTAGACCTCAGGAATGTCGCGCTTTATGATCATGAGATACATGTGATTGGAGCGATCTCACTTGTCATCATCTTTCCTCTGTTCAGAGGTGGTGGATTCTGTAGGAGAAGCAAGTTGCTTCTTTCTTAATGTAAGGTCAAGATCCAAGTAGTCAAGAACAATCTCCATGTTCTCTTTCCAGTCCTTGAAATTTGCCCCATTAAAGACCGAAACCGAATTTAAATTGGCAAATATTGAAGCAATTGTAGCTGAAAAACAAGAACAAAATTAAACATTTTAAATGTACTTACATAAAAAAACTGAATTATCAATTTGTTCAAATAAAGACATAACACATCTCTAGATACATAGTGCACCATCAATATTGCGTCTTTAGACACTAATATTAACTGCCAATGATACTCTTGTTGTAATGATCAAACATTGATAATAAAAGCATATTGAATAACAAACTCATTTTTGAATTGATTTATTATTCACATGTAAGACATTATAATTATCACATGTTTACCATCAAAGGCGCGTATGTCCTTTGGGTCCATTGATACACGCATGGACAAACATACACACAGCCAGAAAATTATTCAACCTTTTTCAAAAGTGATTTTTATAAAAAGAGATCACTTTAGCGACTTTTCATTTTAATTACTCACTCAAAAGTTAAATTACTATATAAATTTACAAATCGTAGCCAAAACTTGAATAAAATTATTCCAAAATTTATTTAATTTATGTGAAGCACAACAAAAAAAATAAAAAAAATTAAATTTATCAAAGTTATTTATTTATTAAAATTACTTGTTTTAGTAAATAAATAAAAAATTAAACACTTAAATAAAATATAAAAATTTGTTCATAATAGGGATAACAAAAAATTATTCACTGAAATAAAAGAAATTAAGTATACGGTTGCTGGCGTTGTTACTAAACGTAAGAAGAAAAAAAAATATATTCAAACAATTTCATAATACTCATGTGCCGCTTAAGAAAAATTATTTTGAATGGGATATTAGAATACTCATATTATTGTTCTACGGTTTTTGCATAATAGTTTTTGCAGAATAGTGTCAAAATCAAGTTTTTCCCAAATATTATCGAATATGTTTGGCATTTAAAACGAAATAAAATCAAATATAAACTAAAAAACACAGGATCAACAGGATGAAAATATTGATTTATACAATTAGAAGATCAAAGAAATTCCAATTAATTCTAAAATCAAATTGAATATGATAGGGAGACTCCTATAACACTGGTTATAGATGTGGTCATAACTTTATTACTTCTATATATATAAAAGTCAAGAACGAAACTCTAAAATAATTCCTGATATACCCTCAACTTGTACTCCTTAAGCTCATATAGACTTCAATAAGAGAATAAAAGCGAAAGCGAGTTTACCATTGAGAATCATTGAAGGTTTGTGGATATTCGATCTTCCGATTTGTAGAGTTTCTTTATGGCTCTTTAATTCTCCTCAGATGAGATGAAGAGAGAATATTTAATAAGATGTTTTGCGTTTACAAATAGGGACCATAATCCTTATAAATAATCTTAAGGTTATTTTTTAGTGTTCAATATTCTAATTTGATCCCTCATCAAATTAGATATTGACTTATAATATCTACATATTAATATTATTTTTCATGATATTTATACTTTTAGCCATAAACTTATTATTAGCTTTCACTAATTATATAATGACCCTAACACATCTCACATTACAATTGTGACTCAAAAATTTTAACAATTTTAACAGAAGAAAGTTGCACAATTTTGGAATTAAAAGTACAATTATACCCATATAGGTATTTGTTCAAAATAAATTTCACATGCTAGTATTATTTATTTGAGTAAAAATCTATTTTGATTTCTCAAAAAAATTACATAACTCAAATTAATCCTAAAAAAAATTATATTTAATTCATTACAAAATTTAATTGGGCTATATTAGTCATTTTGTAATATTTTTTTAAAATGATTTTTTTCTACTTTTAAATTGTGAATAGAATGTCATGTGTATTATTTATTCCACATGCATTTTTTTTTGTAATTACATGGACAAACATGCTGGATTTTATTTTTCATTTTTCATTTTTAAATACTAAATTTATTTTTATTTTTATTTTTAAACAATTTAAATTTAAAAATATCAGAAAAGTCAAAATTTGTTCTAAGAAGGAATCAAACCAAAAACCTTTAAACCGCATCGTATACAAAATCTATGGATCTCGAACCAAAGTCCATTCAAGATAAATGGTAGTCACTTTACCACAAGACTAATCAATTTCTATCGTTAATATTTCTAATGAGGAATCCTTAACTTAATAATTCAAAATAAACATTTATTTATTTACTTATTTATCTTTTTCAAATAACACACAAACAAATATTTACTTATTTCAAATTAAATAATAATTAATTAATTTAATAATAATTTAATTAATTACTAAAATATGTAATTAATTAAAATTAAATAATCAACTAATTTTTTTGAAGTATTTAATTAATTCAAATTAAATATTAATCAATTAAATAAATAATTTAAAAAATTAGTTGATTAATATTTAATTTAAATTAATTAAATGCTTATAAAAATAATTAATTATTATTAAATCTGAATTAATTAAATACCTAAAAAATTTAATTAGTTATTACTTAAACTAAATTAATTAAATACTTCAAAGTTGATTCTTAATTAATTTAAGTTAATTAAAAAATTTAATAATCAATTGAATAACTATTAAACTAATTGATTATTATTTAATTTGAATTAACTTAAAATAAATTAATATCTACTTGTGAGTTATTTGAAATAAATAAATGTTTATTCTAAATTTATTAAATTCAATATTATTTATTAAAAATATTAATAATAAAAATGGATTGGTTTAATATAAAGTGACTATCATTTATCTTGAAGAAACTTGAGGTTGAGATCTCATGTATTTTGTATTTATCTTGAAGTGACTTTAAGAATTAGAGTTATTTAGGACCAATTTACATTGGTCTAAAAGGCATATAACGGACCTTGGGTTCGATTCTTTTAGCGACAAATTTTGGTTTTTTTTATGTTTTAAAATTTGAATTATTTTTAAAATTGAAATTAAATACAAAAATTAGTTTAGAATTCATAAAATAAAAAATAAAAAATAGTTTAGAATTCATAAAATGAATAAAATAAAATAAAATAAAATAAAATGTGATTGGTCCACATGATTATTAACATGTAACATAAATAATATACAGTCCAATCACAATTTAAATATAAAAGAATCGATTAGAAAAAAATATTAATAAAATGACTAATATAACTAAGTGAAATTTTGTATAAAAACTTTTAAATAAATTTTTTCATACTCGTTCAGATTATTGTAAAATATTTTTTTACTAAATTATATAATTTTTTAAAATAAAAAGAATTAAATATAATTTTTTAAAATGAAAAGAATTAAATAAATTTTTTTAAAATTTAAAAAGTAATTATAAAAATAATAAAAATTTTGTCTTATAAATTAAATTTTAAACTTTTTTTGAAAATTTTTTATAAAATTCTAAATATATATATAATCATTCAAAAATACATATTAATTTAACCGTTAAAACTAAAATTACATACATAATTATTTTGTAAGGACAAAAACGTACTATTTTTTTTATAGGACGAATAACAACGGAATAATAAAATTTAGTATTTTATAGAATCAAAAATATATTTAACTCTAAATATTAAATAGGATTTTTCTTTTTCTCTGGAATTGAGATTAATTTGAGTTTTGTAGTTTTGCAAGGAATGAAACTAGTTCTTTGCTTTATTTATTACTTGAAATATTTTAATTACTTTTTAAGTTAAATCGTTTGGTTCAGACTTTACCGGAAAGAAACCCTTATAGTTATAGTATATATGATATATAAATATAAATACAAAACAAACTACAAAGTATATTCAAACAAAAGAATAAAAAGAAAAGAAAATCTGTCTCTCTCTCTTTGGCTCTTCTTTCTCTCTCTTCCATTTCTCCATGGTGAAACCAACGGAAAACGCAGTGTCACCGGAAAGTTTATCGAACAACACTGCAAATTCACTGTAATTCGAGCAGAAATAGAGTTTAGCACCTCTTTGAATTCGAACAATGCCTATCTCCAGGTACCACATTCGTAGCGCGCACAGTTTGGCGGATCCGGAGCTGCACCGTGCCGCCGATAAGGATGACTCCGAAGCTCTACTTGAGGCCGTAGCCATGAGCGGACTCGTAGGCTTCTTGCGCCAGCTCGGCGACCTCGCTCAGTCAGTTCTCTCTCTAACCGTTTTCTTGTGTTGACTGGTGCTGAATTATGTTCATAGTTTCCGTGATGGCGTTGAGCTTTTGAAAAAATAAAATAAAATGATAATTTAGTTTTTCTATAATTGAATTGTTGTTGGTGGTGATGATGATGTTAATGTTACTTGAGTGAGCTTTGATTCATCGAATTTTTATTTATATTTTGTCTGTTTGGAAATTTGTTAGTTTGGAGTTTCTAATTTGGTGGTTAGGTATGTGGCTAAATTTGACTTTATATTTTTTTTCTTAAGTATTATTATGAATTTATGATTCAATGTTGTAATGTAGAATTGAATGTTGGTAGCTGATTTAGAATATTACTTTTTTTGTTTAAATTTATTTTGCCTTTTCTCTGTGTCTTCTTCCTTGATTCCTTGATTCCTTTTGTTCTTTTGTATGTAGTCTTTTTCTTTGTATGTAAGCTACTTTTTGGGTGGATAAAAAAGGAAGAAAATGGACGGTTGTTGCATAGATTGGTTGAGAATATGTTGGATACTTTTTTAAATAGATGGATATTTGATTTGATGATGTGTGAACCATAATTCTGGAATTAAGTTTCATGGCAGATTTAAAAATTGAGTTACTGGTCGTAAACATGATTTGACGAGTTATGCTCATTTTTTTGTATGATAACAGAAATTATAATTTTTATTAAATCACAGAAGGAGAAATGAGATTTAAGTAAGATTATTTTACAGCTGACTAGCATTTCAGATTCTGAAATTTTTTGTTTGGTGGGTACACTGTGGCTGTTAAGGATTCAAGGGTCAATCCTAAAATCTGCTATCTATAATCTCTTCATCAACCACCTGATTAAGCCCAGGTGGCTCAGTATTCTGATTAATTTAACTATAATGTTATATGGTAGGAAAATCTTATATTTTGTCAGAAGTAAGGTGATCATGGAATTCGGTTCCCTGCAGTGAATCTTTACAAAAAATAGTTCCATTTTGTATTCTTGGCTTTGACATTTAATTTTACAGTCACAGACTGCTGTTAAGTTCTCTGCATTTTAACTGTATCATTTTGATTAGATTTGCTGCTGAGCTGTTCCACGACTTGCATGAAGAAGTAATGGCTACTGCTGAAAGAGGCCACAGTCTTATGTCTCGTGTTCAACAGATTGAGGCTGAAATTCCTCCACTTGAGAAAGCATTTTTGTCAAGAACTCATCATTCATCTTTCTTCACAAATGGAGGTTAACTAATCGATGGAGTTCTTTTGTTCATTATTTATGTTTGTAATTTGAACTGTAGGTGATAACGAGTCCCATGAAGAATTTTAATTTGCTTCTTGCACTGCAGGGATTGACTGGTGTCCTAATCTTCGATCTGAACAGAATCTTGTTTCACGCGGAGATTTACCTAGGTTTATAATGGATTCATATGAAGAATGCCGTGGTCCACCTAGACTTTTCCTTCTAGACAAGTATGGCGACCAGATTTGAAAAATACAATTTTAGTATTAATATTATTTAGTTATTATTTTATGGATATCTGAAGCTTTTGTTAGGTTTGATGTGGCTGGTGCCGGAGCATGTCTGAAGCGTTATTCTGATCCATCATTCTTTAAAGCAGAACCTGCTTCATCTGTAAGTGTAACAGCAACAGTAGAAGTTCACAGGGAAAGGAAAATTCGTAAAGTCAAGGTACTAAAAGGACTGATTCTACCACTTGATGACATAATTTTTCTCGAATTGTTTTAAGACTTAATTAAAACACAATTGTATGCAATGGAAAATTGAATATTTGCAATTTTGGATATTAAATATGTATAATTTGTATTTCCAGCAAAAGAAAGGGGAATGGCGGAGGGATGGTGAAACCCCTGGAGCTGTACTATCACATTCAAAGTGAGTTCCAATAATTTTACTGTGGTGCATAAGCTATGCCTTTGATTTGTCAAATGCAAAAATGTCCTTATAATGGCTAATCAGTTACTCAATTCATTTTCATTATTGCAGACTACATCAGTTGTTTCTTGAGGAGCGTATTGAGAATGTGTGTAGTGATCCTGCTCGTCTTGTGAAACTGAAAAAAAGACAATTTGATGGATCTGCAGTTGAAGCAAAATCTGGGAGAAGTTACATGGAGGAAATTCTGGAAATTACCTCACCTGATCATAAAATGGCTTGTGAAACTTCAATCAATCCACTGCCTGTGAAATTGATGTCAAACGACACTAGTGAAACTGGGATTGAAATACTCGAAATCAATGACATTTCACATATGAGAAGGTCTATTGAAAATGGAAAAACACATTCTTCATCAAATGAGCAGGAATTAGAACTTAATTCAAGCTCAGAAGTAGGCAGGAAGACAAATGGATATCTTGTGAAGGAGCCCGAACAAATCTCTTCTGGTGGGACAGGTGAAGTGTCTTCTAAGCATCTCAAGGTACCTGATGAAGCAGAACTAGTCGATGATGATGGACAAAACAAATCTCTTCTGGTTAAGACAAATGGATATCTTTTGAAGGAGCCCGAAAAAATCTCTTCTGGTGGGACAGGTCAAGTGTCTTCTAAGCATCTCAAGGTACCTGATGAAACAGAACTAGTGGATGATGATGGACAAAACAAATCTCTTCTGGTGAAGTCAAATGGATATCTTGTGAAGGAGCCCGAAGAAACCTCTTCTGGTGGGATAGGTGAAGCGTCTTCTAAGCATCTCAAGGTACCTGATGAAACAGAACTAGTGGATGATGATGGACAAAACCAAAGAGAAGGCAGCCTAGACTGCTATCATTCTGATGACACGGCTAGTGAGGTTGATGATTATATGGATGCATTAGCTACCATAGACTCCGAGTTGGAAATAGACAATGAGTGTGGACCTAAGAAAAGCCTCTTGAATGTTCAAAAGGTAATTGATTCAAATGGTGAAGAGGAACATCAGCTGCAAGCTCCGTTTTCAGATTCTCAATCATTTGGAGACTCATCATTATCTGAGGAAATGAGTTCATTTGAACAAGATAGAAGTGAAGAGAATAATGAAGTACAAGCTCAGCTGCCAGACTCTCGGTCAGCAGGAACGTCCTGTGCATCAGATGATGACAATAGTTCATTCAGAAAAGATAGAACTGAAGAACATACCCAACTGCATGCTCAGTTGTCAGATTTTCAATCTATTGGAAATTCCTCACCAGAAACTGAAAATATGCTTTCCAACCAGCTTCCACAAACTGGTGAATTGAAAAAAAATTATGATGAGTGTGTCACACATGATGATGCACATGATCTTGGGGGAGAAATATCTGATTCTGAACCTGTCTCTTCTGGTTCACGTCCGGTGGATTCAGGATGTTTATTATTGTCTTCGGATCATGGAGCTACAGCTCTATCAGATAAAATGCCACATGTTCCTGTTGAACGGCATTTAAGACTAGAAGATGATGAAGACGCCATCTCCCTAATAAAAGATAATAATCTCCCAGTTGTTTATTTTGACAACAATTCTTTGAACAACTTGGATGTCTGCAATCCTCATGTCCATTCCCATACTACATTACAAGTTTCCAATGATTTAAATTTGGCACATGAAGGCGAATGTGGTGATCATTCTGACATCAAAGTGATGCAGGATGAATCTCATAATGAGTACTGTTCTGAAATATCAACTGTTGGAGACATTGGTTCACGAGGGGAGAATCCCATTTGTCTGCCCATGGAATTAGACCTTAATTTGGGCACTAAAATGCAGCTTGACGACTGGGACTTACAATCTGATGATGATATCAAAGCAATGCAACTTGATTCAGAAGATTTGTTTCCTGTTGTGGAGACTACCGTAGAGAATAGCTTTGCAGAGGAGCTATTCTCTGATTTTATTCAAGGGAATCCACTAGACGGACCACATTCGGTAGAAGTTAAAACTCTTTATTCTGACTATCTTTCAAATTTTGAAGAGGTACCGAAGATAATGCTTGGTGATGAAAGAAATGGATCCACCTGCAGTTTGGATCAAGTTGAAGATGACGATCTTATTAATCATCCTCCTTGCCCTAATTACATACTGCAGGATGATGATATCATGGTAAATGATATGTTCCCTGTAAAGGTTCTGTCCAAAAATCTAGCCGTATCTCCTATTCCTTCTCTTGATAATACTGAAACTGATGCAAGTGTTGTTAATTGTCAAGCTTCAAATTTTATTTCCTCCCCATCAATGAATCCTCCAAATTTGCTTGAATCTTTACCAGCTTCTCCAGATTCCAATAGGATGGAAATGGAATCCAATGAGGTAGAGTTGACAAAAATTTCCATAGACTTGAATGCAGAGAAGAGGGAAAATCAACTCGAACCATTTTCATATATGACATCTCCAGTGAGTAGCCTTACAAATTTGGAAGAATCTATTTCTACTTTTGAAGATTCGCACTGGAAAAATTTGGAAGTCAGTGAGGAAGTTGCAAGAGACTCTTTGACAGAGTTAACGTCACATTTAGTAGTGGATCAACTGAAAATTGCTTCTACTGATGAACTGTTGAGCCTGAACAGATCAGACTCTTCTAACTCTAGTGTATGTAATAATCAGCATTCATTGCTTAAGGATAAAGACCAAGATGGTTCTTCTCTCAATGACATGAAAATGGTGACCCAATGTTCAGAGCTAGACTCTCAGGATTCAGAATCTACAATTGTTCGCAAGAATGATCTACAGAACAGTAAAGATAGTTTTTCACCACCTTCCTATAATCAACTGGAGCCTGAAACCCATTTAGAGTGGACCTTAAAACCACGAGTTGTGCAGCATGATGTGGGTTTTCTGCTCAAAAATGAAGAAAAATGCACCTCTTCAAAATTTGAACCTCAGCCGATGCCGATATCAAATCACTTGGAGGGAGAGAGAATAAATTGTGTTGCTTCTGAGTTTTCTGCAGAAGTCCATCTAAAGGAATCTTCAGATGGTTCCGCATCAAAGTCATCTGATCAGAAGATTAACTCATCAAAACATTTCACGGATCCATTGAAACCTCTCCTTCCTAATCTTTTTCCCAAGGCAACCAAAATAAACCTCGAGGAAACGCCGCCTATGCCCCCTCTACCACCTATGCAGTGGATAATGAGCAGGGCCCAAAATGCTTCCTTAGTGTCAGAGAGAGAAGAAATAGGTGTAAGTCATGTATTATTTCAACCAGTACAGCCAGTTAAACCTGATTATAACTCTCAAATTGACTTATCAACTTCTGAAAGAGTAACCTTGCCATATCAGAATCCTTTTTTGCCTGCTGTGGCTGTGGAGAGTAATAACTGCCTACACTCTTCTGGGTTATCAGCAGGTATTTCAGAGCATCCTGTTGCTATTCCTTTGCAGCTTCCTGTGATGGTAAATGAAGCAAATGGTCGGCATAATTACCAAGTTCTGGAGAGAAGTCAAATTCACAACCCTTTCTTAGCATTACCAATGCTATCTTATGGTTGGCTGCCACATGGACGTGTCAAAGCTTCAGAGGGAGAAAGCATTTTGAAATCAAATCCATGCCCACCAATACATCTCACTGAATGTGCTGTTTTTGGGGATGATCCTAGCGACCAACAAGAAACACTGCCTCAGTTCAAGAGTCAGTTAATGGAAAATACTAGTTTAGAAGCTAAAGACGATAATCTTGGAGAAAGTGTATTGAATTCAAGTTCATGCCCACCAATACTGCCTGCTGAATGTGCTGTTCCTGGGGCTGATACCATCTTTCAACAAGAAAAACAGACCCATTCTTCTGGTCAAATAATGGAAGATACATGTTTTGAAGCTAAAATGGACAGTCCTGAAGAATCGCACTCAGTGCTACCATCTGAATGTCCTGTATCTGGAGGTGACCCCATTTCTTCAAACGAACAACATTCTCATTCTCCAAATGCATTAATGGAAGAGACTGTTCTGGAATTTACAACACTTGAGGAGACATCAATTCATTTGGAAAGGGATCAAGGTGATCATATTGTCTCACCTAAGTCCCCATCACCAAGTGTAGAAATTGTGCAGCCCAATCACGGCCTGCTGCCTTCAGAGGGGGATGTGACACTGTCATTGGATACATCCTCCCAATCATCAGAATTTGATAATCAAATACCAAATGGAAAATCAAAGAAGCTTCCTCCACCTCAGAATCATTTATTTGATGTTGTTGCTGCTCTTGACAAAAGCAGGGTAAAGACAGTTTTATTGTTCGTGTCAAATTTACTCTTTGTGCAGTCTCAATTTTTGCATAACACGCTGCCTTTGTACCACTGCAGCTGAGGAAGGTCACTGATCGTGTTAGGCCCCCAATAGCACCAAAGGTAGATGAAAGAGACTCATTGTTAGAACAGATTAGAACGAAGGTAAGAGCCAGCAACTTTGATCTTTTTTTTTACAGGAACTTGGGTCTTGTTCATGCTATTTTTACCCTTTTTGTATCAAATTCTTGTATTTTGATATTTCAACATATTATTTTTCAGTCCTTCAACTTGAGGCCTGCTGTGGTTACACGCCCCAACATTCAGGGTCCCAAAACGAACTTGAGGGTTGCTGCCATCTTGGAGAAAGCAAATTCTATTCGCCAGGTCTATCTCTCTTTCTTTATTAAATTATTCTATTACGTGTATCAGTGTATGTTCTCTGTTATGTTTTGGTAAACCGCATGCGCTCTTCCCCTCTCTTTCCTTGCACCAACATACCCCTTCTCTTCCGGGTAAACTAAACTATTATCGATAACTGAAACAGGCTTTGGCTGGAAGTGATGAAGACGATGATGCTTGGAGTGATTCTTGAATTTACTACATAATGAAAAATACAGATCTCAGTGCCAGTAGATGTTTTTCAATTGTGGGTTTATTCTCCATATTGAATAGGAAATTTACTTCAATATACAAGATTTATCATCCTACTGTGTGTTCATAAACGGTACTCTGGACGACACGTGTCCCCTCCCTGAGTCCTCCTAATTCACATTCAGTTCTGTAAAATGGGAACAAGCACCTTCCGTTGCATCGATCCAGAACATTTTACAGAGGTGAAACTTGCGTCAGTCCGGTTAGGCTCAGCGTGTAAGAGATGTATCCATCCAGATCTACCAACCTGTTAGAATTTTCTCTTCGTATGAGTATGTGTATATTTGTGTTGTGGTTTTCATAAGTAAATTCGTAATTCTGTATTAGCGGTATACTGATAATTGCCTGGTAACACCATGTAGTTCATCTCGTTTGTGTCCCATACATAGTATATATATGTATACATGTGAGGAAAATATTGTCATTAGTATTTTTTTCTTCTATAACTGTATATAGACAGCATTAGAAAATTGAAATTTGTCAGAGGAAATTATAAATATATACTATTTGCGAACTCATTTCTCTTTAGCTGCTTGTGCATTAGCTACTGCTATAACTTTCTCTATTTTTTTTTGAATCATCTACAACTTTCTTTAGATCATCATGGCCTTGTGCAAATATATTTTTAGATGGATTTGGTATTTTCTCTGGATCATCATGGCCTTATCCAAAGCCAAAGCAAAAGTACTAACAGCATTCCGTCAGCTTCAGAGGCGCAGGCACATGCCCAATGTTACTGATCATCTTTATGGTGGCATTGTTCCATTTAAGAGTCATAAAAATCTTAGAAAAGGTGAATCCATAGCACCTGAACTCCTTCATGTAAGTGAAGGATCTCAGCTTTTGTTGTGATTTTTTCAAAGAACTATGTTTTCTCAACAACGTGCTTGCGAGAACTGCATAAGATCCTATTTTTTAAAATTACCTCTCCTATGGTCTCAAAAATCTGGATAAAAAAGTAAGCAACTAAACATGTTGAATTTTGTGGTTGTTATAGCAGCACTAAAATAAAGGTGTCTATGAATATTTTTCTTGAAAATTTTAAAGCGTGTGAATTTAACATTAATTTTTATAATCAATTTGCTCCCACCAATTATAATATATTGGATGCAATCAATATTAACAACGAATTTACTGAGATATTTTGAATTCTTTAATATAAATTGCACAAACACACTAAACGTATATTTTGATAATCGATTACAGAATGATGTTTCTTAAATTTCACTCATGCATTAACGAAGTGAAAGATGATTTAGAATAATAAAAATGCTAGAGAAAAGGGTGTATGTATTCTACTTCTCAATATACATATAGCCAAATATATTTAATAAATCGGTCGAACCAGATGATCCGGTCTCTAAAAAATATCACGACACCTACAAAATTTTTAAATATCATAATTTCACAAGTTCATTCTTTAAATTTAAACTCTTGATGTAGTCATCATGCACGGCAAAATAGTACAAAGTACATATCCGAATAAATTTTGAACAATATCTGATTCCAAACGAAGAAAAATTATTCCAAATAAATTTTGAATAAAGTCTACTTATGTTTTAATTTTATTTAAAAAATAAATTATCAAAACAACGCCGTTATTATGAAAAAAAGACATGCATTTAAACTGCCGATTTTCCAAAATTGCGGGTTCTCCGGTTTTTAGCGGTTATGACCGGTTCTCACTGGTTCAATAGCATATCTGATCCAACAATCAGACAAGTGAGATTTCCGGTTCTCGGTTCGAACGGTCCGACCAGCGGGTTCGGTCTGATTTTTAAAACACTAATTTTTTGTTCTTATGAACACAATGGAAATTACTTCACTTGAAATTAAATCATTCACATCTATGTCTTATACTAATATGTCTAGATTTTTCATTATATACTTGACTATATGTTTTTGATAGTGTGGACTAACTATCACAATATACAGATAGATGTGTCATTGGCTTTGGACAAATAGGTATCTCATACAATAAATTTCTTAGCCATTCGGCCTCTTTACTGTCGGCAGCTAGAGCAATAAATTCTGCAGCCATGGTGAAGTCGTCAATGCAAGTCTGTTTTTTTGAACCTTAAGAAACTGCACCTCCATTGTCGCGGTGAAAATCAGATACCAAAGCTATGAGATTAGCTTGACTCGCAATAATAAGATATCACCACTGAACTTTTATTTTATCCAAGGGAAGGGAGAAAAGATCGAACAAAAACCTTAAGTAAAATGCAAAGCAAAAAGCAAGACCTAAAGCTAAGTAAAGAGGGATCAAAGGTACGAGGGTTTGTGCTTTGGCTAAAGTTATTTGCTAAAGGTAAGGATGGGCAAAGAAAAGAGAAAAAGTGGAAAAGAAAAAGGTAGCTCGTTAGAATCTCGCAATTCTATGCCTACATATCCTTTACAGGAATTCAGAGCAATCGTAGTTCAGAAACTACAGGTGAAAAATAAAAAGAAAAGTGTGAAAAAAAGGTTGCTCGCAAAGGATCAGGACCTTGTGCCTACGTATTCTCAAGAGGAACTTGAGAAATCAGAGCGTCCGTAGTTCGTGGAACTACGAGTTGTTAGGTCCTAAGAACCAAGAACAATAACAAAGACAAATAAACAAGGGACTTGCACAATGAAAATAAGTCAATATACAATCTCTACCTTTGGATTAGGTCAACAACGATCAAAAGAAAGCAACAAATACATGGAAAAACATCATGTAAATGGCAAGCAAATAAGACACATACACAGTACACAGAAAAATATCATGTATGGTCGGACAGATAAGACACAAACACAATACACGGAAAAGTATCATATAACCAGCAAGCATCAAACACAGACACAGTACACGACAAGATTATCATGTACAGTCAAATAGACAAAAGATCATAGGATACACATGGCAAAACATCATGGTAATCAGATAATGAAAAGTCAACCAAAATACACGAAAAAGCATCATATAATTCATATATAAAGATACCACGAAATACACATTGAAAAATATTATGGTAGTCAGACAATGAAAAGTTTACAGAAATACACGGAAAACATCATGTAATCGACAGATAAAAATACCACAAAATACGCATGGAAAAATATCATGGTAATCTGACAGTGAAAAATCAACAGAAATACACGAAAAAACATCATGCAATCGTCAGACAAAAATACGCGGCAAAGCATCGCGAAAGAAAATTGACAAACACGTTTACGGCAAAACATCGTGATCAAACAGACAAAGATACGCGGCAAAATATCGCAAAAAAAGATAAACAGTCACGGGAAAGCATCGTGAATAACACAGAAAGTACACGACAGAGCATTGTGAGATAAAACATCATTAATTAATCATGGCAGAACATCAATAATTAACGAATGAAACAGATAAACCCAAAACATGAAAGCAAACAAGTCAGAAAAAATAAAATCAGACAGCATATGAATTATTAATCAAATTAAATATTAATATTTAATAGTATTAACTAATAATTTAATTAAATAAAAATATTTAAATTAATTAATGATCACAACATTTTTTGTTTTGTAAATTAGATCACTAACTTAATGAAAATATTAAAAGTAAAAGACTAAAATATTTTTAGGTATTTTTCTAAATTAATCAAATTAAAAAAACCTACATTAAAATTTAAATGAAAAATTAAAGAAACTACAAATAAATAAATAAAAAGCAAACGTGGATGAGAAATTGAGCAGTAAGTGGAAGATTCATGTGGCATTATAATAAAATAAAAGGATACAAATTCTCCTCCAAACAAACATAAAAGAAAAATTGTATTCTCCATTGTCTTTCTTATTTCGAAATGTAGTAACTTTATTGAAACATGTCACAACCATGAATTAATGTACAAGATTAAAAAATGCAAGGTTCAAATCATTTAGGAATATGCACACCTATTCATGTATCAAATTATCGCAATTGCGAAAAATACCCGGCGGAAAACAGAAGAATCGCCACTTTTCGTTATTTATCCCAAATAGAGGGAAAGAAAACGATCGGAAAAACCTAAAGAAAAAGGGAAAAGACGAGGTCATCACAACCAAGTCCTGGATTCGGGAGTCGGTTACGCAAGGGGAAGGTATTAGCACTCCTCACGTCCGTCGTACTCGACGGGATCCACACGTTGTTGTCTATCTAAGGGCGATCATCTATCTAGCTAAACGTCAAGGGACAAAAGAAAAAGAAAGGAGACTCGGCAGAGCATCTCCGCTCTGTGCCTACGTATTCCCTCGTGCAATGGGAAAGTCAGAGTCAACATAGTTCGGCCAACTACGGGTGAAAGGGGGGAAGGTTGCTCGCCAAGACATCGTGCCTTGTGCCTACGTACTTTCATCTGGTATGAAAGATCAGAGCAAACGTAGTTCGAGCTAAAAAAGACCACGAGTTGGTTCAAAAAATTTTTTAGGCCCGAGTAGGGTTAACAAGTAGTTCTAGCAGTTGGTGTATGCAGCTCGACCATTGGAGACTTAGGTGTTACCGTTTGCGGTAGAACTAAAAGTTAACAACACTCTTTTATCTGAAAAGATTTTCCTTGATTAAGAACCCCAAAGGGTGAAAAATATTTGAAGTGTTTTTGTGTTTTTTAGAGAAGAAGTGTTTTGAGTTTGATTTGTAACTCATGTCGCACTAGAGACTATGACCTAAGAGCGAATGCGTCGTATATCACCCAAAGGGTGTACACTAAACACTCTAGGTCATTGAGAGGAAGCCCCCCAATCACCATTTCTCAAGTAGCTTAAGGCTCATAGCGTACAACACTTGTCATTCTTTATTATATGTTTTATGAGTGTTTGAAGATGAGAAGAGAAGAAAGGACCACTAATGGGAGACTAATTCAATTCTAAAAGTTGTCATTCAAAGTGGACTTAGAGTTGGGATACAAAAGGGAACTACCTAATATTAGCATGCATGGTTTGAACTTAATGTCTATCACA